GAAATGGATTTAATGGAAGATTGAGAGGCTTAAGGGAGTAGGCAAGGAGAGTCTGTGCTGCAACTTTAACTCTTGGACACCTGAAGAGATTGCTGGTGCAATAGTGATCATTCAGTGTAGGGGAAAGAGAAGAACAGGGACAGAGGACTAATGATAGTTTTCACCGGGATGTTAACCTGCTGTTGCCAAAAACCGGAAGGAAGATAAGGCAAGAGTTGGCCAATGAGAAGGGGAGGGAGCAGTCCACTTGCCTTCATTTATTTATGTAAATATTTTATATATATATATATATATATATATATATCACTTGTTTTTTAAGCTTTTTTTTAAGAAGCAGTCAGGGAGAATTTTATGCAGCCATGTACATACGAGCACTGGATTAACTTTCCCAGTGTCAGAAAAAGGGGAAAAGTGGAGGATTTCCAAACAAAAATATCCAAATGCTTTAAGAGACTTTTAAATCACCACCTGGGCTTGTGCTGGGGGAGGGGGGGGGGGGGGGGCGGAGGGGGCTTAAATACTATGTATGCAGAAGGAAAGAACAATTTGTGTATAATCTGCCCCAAGCTGCTTTATTCGCATCAGTCCCTAAAGTTTCCGAAGGCAGGGTGGGATGTGAATGGCTCAAGGGACAGAGAGAAAGGGCCATGGTCTCAGCTTGTTTTCAGCAGCTCTGAGGTCAGACTGATGCTGTGCTCGCTTTGCACCTTCTGACACATGGATGATGGGGACTGAGGAGCGGAGGCTGGAAGTGTCGTGCCCAAAGCAGAGGAAAACCACTGAATTTTGTCCCTTATTGCAGCAAAACCTTGACCACCACTTCCAAAGCCCTCTATCTGCAACACCCCTGTGCACCAGCCCCTCAATCCTGGCTGCTTCTTCCTTTGCTTTTCCAAAGACATGCTCTGCCTTTGGTAGCATTGCTGTGGCTCCTCCTAGATGAAAGTGGGGAAAGGACAGAAGCAGCTTTTCCCACTGGAGCATGAAGGAGCAGGGACTGAGAAGGTGAAAGGTTTGTGTGGGGGAGACCAGTGAACCCCCAGGTCCCATCATGGCAGAGTTACTTGGTAGCCCCAGGGAACTGGGAAAGCAAACTGCTTTGTTCTGGATTGTGCTCTGTGGCTTGTGGTGTGCACGTGCTGTGGGAGATCTTCTGTCAAGCAAGTGCAGTGTGCATCCCTGGCTTCATCCCATGGTTGACCTGGGCTGGAAACTCACCTGGAGCCTTGCAAACAACACCTAGCCTTTACTGCAAAAGCTTGGCAATGGGACTAAGCGATCCTCAACAGATCCTTGTAGGCAGCCAAGACGTGTAGATTGTGAGTAGCGTGGTAGCAAGTGAACTGCTTTTCCTTTTGCTCCTCAGCAAGGAGCCTGGCTAGTGCAGTTTTGTCATCTGCCTCCTGGTGTTAGCAGCTCCTCAAGGCCTGGCCTGGCTCTTCTCCACCCCCAGAGCAGCTTGTTGCATTGCACGGGCAGAATGAAGCCGTGGCAGCTCCTGCACGGCCGACGGACCCGCTCTCTTCAGGCAGCAGCCAGGGGCACATCCCTCCATGGAGAACAGCCTCCTTCCCTGAGCAACCTGGAGGTGAAGGAGCCTTCCCCCTCCCTGCTCTGTAGAACAAGATACAATAGAGGGGTCATGCCTCTTGGCTCGTCTCTAGTGTGTTTTATTGCCCAGCTGAAATGAGTGAGGAGAGAATTAAACCCCAGGCAGATGGAGGGGGGAGAAGAATCCTTTGTAGTGGTGGTTTGGCTCCAGAGCAAAGCCGCAGCCGGGCCCAGCGCGGTGGCACAAAGGCTGGGGGATTTGGAGAACCTGTCTGGAGTGGCCGGCACCTGCTTCCCACCACTTGACACACAGCAGAAGACAATCGCTGGCTCAGCAGCCTGGGGATATACGGCCAACAGGTGATGGGCACCACAGGAGCAGGGTGACTTCTGGAAAACGGCACCGTGGGCTTCCCCCTGGCAAGGGGTGTGAAGTGGGATGAAGGCTTCCTCCTGCACCTGCAGAGCTGCTGCATGGCTGGAAACGAGATGCACTGCTGCTCGGTTTGGCTTTGCCACGTGTAGCACCTCCCCACACCCCTTTCCTTGTGGTTGATTTCTTGTTTTCTCACCCCATACAGTCTCAAAGGACCCTGGCTGTAGTGAAGAGGGAAGATTCACCTGGAGCAATTGCTCAGCAGAGAAACTTTTTTTGTTGCTGTTGTTAATTTAAGAGGAAAAATTGTTGCATCTTATGTCAACACTAGTCTGTAGCTGCTCTCCAACACTTGTACCATTCCTGAGTTGGGTTTTTTTTTGGGGGGGGGTTTTGGACTATCCTTTTATTTTTTTTATTCCTTTGTACAGTCAATGTTGTTCAACTGATTCTACATGCATTTGTTTTGTATAAATTAAAGTCTTTTTTTGTTGTTGTTGTTTTGAACTACCAGTGGTGAAGTTGGATCAGTTTTGGGGCGGGCTGGGATGAGGTTGAAAGGAAAAGGTGGGAGTTGTGCCCAAAGGTGGGGATTTGGGGCTGCTGCAATGCAACTGCGTGTTGCCACTTCCAGGTCTTCCATGAAACAAGTTGGGCTGCAGTTTCTGGGGCCTCCTAAAAGTTGTGATTCCTGGGCCTGGTGGGGTTTTACCCTTCTCTGATCAAGCAGAAGCTGAATCTGTTCTTACTCTATCTGCCTTTTTCAGAGCATGGCTGAGGCTTGGATTGTGGAGCTCTAAGGCAGCGCAGACAAGTTGGCAACACGTTTAGTCATGTAGATGGCTGCAGCTTGTGTGGGGCTGTGCTCAGGCCCGGGTACACAGGGACAGGTTTTGCAAGTACAACTGAAGCCTTAGCTAGCCTCTTTGAGCCAGGGTGGTGCTGGGGAGTGGTGGGTTTCACCCACACAGCCCAAACTGGAACAAGCTGGAAGCCAGTGTGGGATCAGCGGGGCTTTGAAATGGAGAAGGTGCCATGAGGAGCTCAGAGCACCCGTGTCTGGGAGCCCCAGCACAGGGGCTTTGCTCCTGGGTGCAGGGAAACTTCTCCTCCCCTGATCCTTGTCTCTGTGCTCGCAGCCCACCTCCGCTTGACCTCCCTTTTCCCTGCCTGCTCACTTCCCTGGGATCAGATTTTCCACTTCGTACCAGACTGGCCACGCCTGTTTTAACAGCTTAAGCGGTAATTGCCGGGGCTGGGAGGGGGTAGGGGGCAGATGAGATAGTGTCTGCAGGCTGGAAAACCCTGGAGCTAAGGTGAAAGCCTGGTCAGGGAAGAGCCTTTTTTTTCCCCTTTTCAAGGGTGTTCTGGAAATGTCTGTTCCCTCTTGCCAGCAGACTCAAAGGTTGTGTGTGGTTTCAGGTGGGTAAGGACAGCTGGGGCCAGTTATGCCAGAGGTGCCTGCCTCTGCTTAGGAAGAGCAGGGAGAGACCACCGTCCACAGCCTGAACCTGGGTGCAGAGGCTGGGAGAGCTTATGGGAGTCCCTGATCTTAGGGAAGGAGCAGGTTGCTCTGGGCTGCTTCAGGTCTTTCCTTGTCGAGTGTGCTCCTCCCAACCCACCTTCCCCATTTGAAGGTATCAGATTGGTCCCACTGTCCCCTGCAAGGGTTGTGCCATGCAGGGTCAACCATGGGTCCCATCACAAGGAACGGTGACCTGCATCTGATGGCACCTGAGATGCTTGACAATGTAGTTGCACTTGCCCATGGGCACACTGGTGGGGCAGGAGCCCTTTAAGGCCCAGGGAGGGCTGTGGCAGGGTGCCCTTTCCTTCAAGACAGGATGCTGAGCCGGTTCCTGTCCTCCCCTCGCTTGGAGGGAGGAGATGAGATGTAAACCTTGCATTTGTGTCTGGGATCTTTGGAAGTGACTCCAGGAGTTCCCTGTTTGGGCTGCAGTGGGAGCTTGGGTGCAGAGATGAAGTTTGGGAGAGGCTGAAGTTTTAGCTCCTTCAGATGGTGGAATTGTCCTGGGCTTGGCCAGAGTGGTGAGAGTCACTTTTGAGTCACAGAATCCCAGCCTGGTCTGGGTTGCAAGGGAGGTTAAAGCTCATGCAGTTCCACCCCCCTGCCATGGGCAGGGACACCTTCCACTAGACCAGGTTGCTCCAAGCCTTGTCCAACCTGGCCTTGAACACTGCCAGGGATGAGGTTTTCTTTCATCTTCTGCTGGGTCCCCAGGCGTGGGTGAGGGTCTTGAGTCATTGGGAGCTGCATTTCCAACCATGCAGCATCCCTCTGGCTGCTTCTGATCTCAGTGACACAGAGACGAGGTGTCTTGGACTCTGGTGTGGGACATGGGCCACACCCCAGGAGCTGCTCCCACAGTTCCAGAGAGGGACCTCTGTGGCAGGAACTGACCCAAACCACAGCACCGACATCTTCTTAGACCATGTTGTAACCACAGGGACCCCAGATAGGGGTGGGTGAAAGCTGGGCTCCAGGTTTTCCTTTCCCCCTTCCCTCCTGCTCCAGCACCCTTGGGCACCCCAGTGCTCAGGTGCATCTCTGGGGAGCGAGGTGCTGTTGCAGCCTGCACCCTGCCAGAGTGAGTGGGTCTGTGGGCTGCAAGTCTCAATGTCTGCGATTGCCTGGATGGAGCAGGCAGGGTCAGGCTGACCGGATGCAATTCCCTGTTTGCAAAACATCTCAGCAGCTCCCCCATGAGCACCCTGGGGCAGTGTAACCTCCGCTCTGCACCCAGAGCCAGCCAGACCCTTGGGTGGCTGCTTGGCCTTGAAACCATGAACCATGGGACATACTCCAGCTCTCTGTGCGTGGTCATGGCAAGCTGCTGCCATGTTCCAAGATCTGAGGTCCCTGGGGAGCCCAAGCACAGAGCAGCATGGTGGATCCTGAGAGCCCCCCAGAATGCCTGCTCCAGTGCAACAGGGCTTCCCCCAGGAACTTCCCCAAGGACTGGGTTGGCACTGAACACTGCATGCACAAGGACCACTGGGGTGCAGGTGGGTTTGAGTTCGGCTTCTCCCTTTGTCCCTTACACCTGGAGACCCCAGGGCAAAACTCCCTCGGGTGGGTTTGCTGCTTCGCAGCAGCTGAGGGAAGAATTAATACTCCCAGAACACTGTGAAGTGTTCCTGCTGCAAGTCAGTCCCACCAGGGATCACGGGAATCTGACTGGGGAGTCAGGGCCAGCTCAGGGCTGGCTGCAGAACGTGCTCCACGAGGCGATTGCAGCTGGGATGCAGCGTGAGGAGCCATCCCATGGGGCTGGCTTCCAGCTCTGGAGAGACAGCCTGGCCCTCAATCGGTGTGGAGGGAGCACTGGGTGCTGGTGGACACCCACCGTGCTGCCAGGAGAGCTGGATGCTGTGCCCAGCGCTTGAGGGGTGCCACATGGTGATCACGGATGAGCAGGGCAGACACATGCCAGTGCCAGCCCCAGCTCCCACTCCCGGGCTCAAGGCTGCATCCACCCACAATGCCAAGAGGCCAGGAGCGGGGTGAGGGGCTCCCCGGTCAGTGTGGGCTCTGCAGGTCTCCCTGCTGGCAGCCCTGGATGAGTGGACCAGAGGCTCTGGCTGCTCTCTCATCCTGCAGGAATTCAGCTCCATGGGCTGGGTGGGTTTTGTGTGTGTGTCCCCCCTCCTTCCACTCTCCCTCTTTGGAGACTTTCTGCATTCTGCCTTTGATCTCCCCCTGCCGTGTTTGCCCAGCCGATCACTGGGCTCGCCGGGGTTAGAGGCTGAGGTCAGCGCCTTTCCCATTCCAAACACCCAGAAACATCACTGGGAAGGGAGGGGATTCAGATTACAACCTTCCCGTCCTCCCCTTCCACCCCACTCGCCCCGCTGAGCCGCCGGGGAGCCAGGATGGACTGATACCCTCTCACTGAGGGAAGAAGGACCAGGAACACCGCTGCCACCGTGTCCCTGGCACCCGCAAGCTGAGCTGCAGCAATGGATGGAGGTGGCCGGCAGCATCGCTGGTGGTCCAGCAGGCCCTGAAGAGCAGAGGTTTGGTCCTCTCCTCCTCCTCTTTCTCTTTGTCCCCCCTCCTTCCCCCTCATCCCCTCCATCCTGACCGTGATTTCTCACCAGCGAGCCAGGCCGGCGGCGTGGGGTGGCCAAGATGCTTCCAAGTGGGAATCTGGTCCCAGTGGGCATCGCGCTGCTCCTGCCCGCGCTGGTGGCGGGGCTGAGTCTGCAGCCAGCCAGGATGCGGCACCCAGGGGTCTGCCCCAACCAGCTCAACCCCAACCTGTGGGTGGACGCGCAGAGCACATGCGAGCGTGAGTGCCGGGAGGACCAGGTGAGCAGGCGCGGGGGGACGTGGGGGACCCCAGGGACTCACTTTGGGTGCGGGTCCTGTGCATGGGGCTTGTTCCTGTGCAACAGGCTCAGCCCAGCATCAGTTTTACCCCCCCCTCCAACCCCCTGCTGTGAGTTGGCATCGGGGTGCTGCGGAGCTGCTCCCCTGCCTCCTCAGCAGGCAAAGAAGCTGCTCGTGCCCCCCCCCCCCCCCCCCCATGTCTCCTGTAGCCAAAGCACCCCCACCATGCACCCCCAGGATGGTCCCACCCAGCCAAAGGGCTGGGATGGGGGAACCATATTGTGTTGGGACAGGGACCCCCATCAGACAGTGGACAGCCCTGCACCCCCCACTTTTATCCCTGTGGTCAGGAGCCCACCCATGGATAAGGCTGTCCATCCTGGAGAGCTCCAGGCTCCATAAGGCTGAGCAGACACATCAGCACCTCCACCTTACTTGGTGCTCCTCCACAGTGGGAGACCCATTTTCAATTCATCTGTGTAATGAGTTCTGCCTCCCCTCAGCTAGCAAAAGAGAGGGGTGAGATGCTGTGTGCTGGGGGGGGGGGGGAGGGGGGAGGGGAGGCAGGGAGGACCAATATCATTGCAGTGCACTCCTCAGCACCCTTGGTGAGTCTGGGGGGGGGGGGGGGCTGAGGGTAGGCCATGGCCAGTGTAGCCATGCTGGTGAGGGCTGGCAGTACTGAGGGTGCACAGGGCTTCGTGGGGTCACTACCCACCCAAAAGCCCCACAGGGGGTGGGAGCAGCTCCCATGGCAAGGTAGTGACCTGCACATCATCCCCCCATCACCTCTTTCCCCCCTCTTTTCCCCTGGCCAGGACTGCAAAGAGTTTGAGAAGTGCTGCACCAACGTGTGCGGGCTGCGGAGCTGCGTGGCTGCCCGCTTTGCCGATGGCAGCGCACCCGCGCCGGCACCTGCAGCCTCATGTGAGAGCTTTGTGTGCGCGCAGCAGGGCTCCGACTGCGACATCTGGGACGGGCAGCCCGTGTGCAAGTGCAAGGACCGCTGCGAGAAGGAGCCCAACTTCACCTGCGCCTCCGACGGCCTCACCTACTACAACAAGTGCTACATGGATGCCGAGGCGTGCCTGCGCGGCACCCGCCTCACCACCGTGCCCTGCAAGCACATCTTCACCTGGCCCGACACCAGCCCTGTGCCGCAGGAGACGACAGCTAACCCCACGCCAGGCACCGGCCCCGAGGTGCCAGTGCCCCCTGCTCTCTACAGCAACCCCTTCCACCAGTCGGTGCGCGCCGGAGGCACTGTCAGCTTCCGCTGTGACGTGAGCGGGCGCCCGCGCCCTGACATCACCTGGGAGAAGCAGAGCGAGAGGGAGGAGAACTTCATCATGCGGCCGGACCAGATGTACGGCAACGTGGTGGTCACCAACATCGGCCAGCTCGTCATCTACAACGCCCGCCACGAGGACGCCGGCATCTACACGTGTACGGCCCGCAACACTGCTGGGCTGCTCCGCGCCGACTTCCCACTGTCGGTGCTGAGGCGGGAGCCGGGGACCATGGCACCGGCCAGCAGCCCCCAGCCCTTCCCCAGCGCCGAGTGCCTGAAGGAGCCAGACCGGCGGCGCTGCGAGGCGCTGGAGGTGCGCTGGCACTTCGACGCCAAGCAGGGCTCCTGCCTCACCTTCCGCTACGGAGGCTGCGGGGCAAACAGGAACCATTTTGAGACGTATGAGGAGTGCCGGGCCGCCTGCCTGGGCAGTGCCCGCCCCACCTGCCTGCTGCCCGTGGTGCAGGGCCCCTGCCAGCACTGGGAGCCACGCTGGGCGTACAACCCCCTGCTGAAGCAGTGCCACTCCTTTGTGTACGGCGGCTGCGAGGGCAACACCAACAACTTCGAGAGCAAGGAGAGCTGCGAGGACACCTGCCCCTTCCCCAAGAGCCTGCAGTGCAAGGCCTGCCGCCTGAAAAGTAAGATGGTGCTGAGCCTCTGCCGCAGCGACTTCGCCATCGTGGGACGCCTGATGGAGGTCGTGGAGGACCAGGACTCCGGTATCGCGCGCTTCGCCCTCGAGGATGTCCTCAAGGATGAGAAGATGGGCCTCAAGTTCTTCAACATCAAGTACCTGGAGGTGACCTTGACCGACATGGACTGGAGCTGCCCCTGCCCCAACATGACGGCGGAGGACGGGCCGCTCATCATCATGGGTGAGGTGCACGACGGCATGGCCACGCTGGACCCCAGCAGCTACGTGCGGGCGGCCAACGACAAGCGGGTGAAGAAGATCTACGAGCTGATGGAGAAGAAAACCTGCGACCTCCTCAACCGCTTCCAGGACTAGGGCAGAGCCGGGACATGCTGATATGGGGGCTGCAGACTCACTGTGGAGGGAGAGCCCCACACCAGTGCTTGTATCCTGGGGTTACCACCACCACACAGCTCCCCACAACCCCATGCTGAGCCCCAGCTCCCACCTCCCCTGTTATTTATCTGCCACATGCCCCCCATGTACCCTCCAGCCCAGCCAGCAGCAATAAAGGAGTGGGCTGGGCTGCAGAGGGGTGGGAGATCTGCCAGGGACCCCCCTCATAAAAAGCTTCCCACTGCACCAAAGCCTCTAGGGGCAGTGCAGCACCCCAGGGTGCTCCCCATGCAGGACGTGATCCCTTCCATTGGTTGGTGCTTGAGGGGGACTGGGGATTCCCCCAGTGCCAGTGCTGCAAGCATTGGTGGGGAGGGGGGGTGAAGCCTTGGTGTTTATTGTGGGGAGCAGCATCACAATCCTGGGGAGGGGATGGGAAGAGGGATGGGTCACCCCACCACCGAGCAAGTTCTACCCCATGGCCGAGGTGCTGCTCCCCCCCAGTGCCTCTGCCCCCCATGGCAGCCACGGTAGCTTCTCTGGGGCACCCCATTGCAAAGGGAGCCCCCTCAGCTGAGCCCATTGTCGCGATGTGACCCCTTTGAGGGGTATCAATGGGGGGTGTCTGTGCCGGGAGGTGTCACAGGCAGGTTACAGCTTGCGGAAGATGAGACTCTTGTTGTTGGCCGGCATATCCACCTGGAAGCACAGAGCCGGGGTCAGGGGGTCCCCACTGGCATAGGGACCCCCCCACCCTGCACACCCCAGCTCTTACCATCCTCTCAAGGTGTAGCCCGTTGGCCTCGGCCAAGTGCCGCAGCAGTGCTGTGTCCCGAAGACCCCAGGCGGGGTTGCTGATGGGGAGGGAGGTGTGGGTCAGACAGATGGACATATCACACCCTGGGAGCTGCCCCATCTCCCAGCAGTGCACTCAGGTGGAGAGGGCTCCTCCCAGCCACTTCTTTAGGTGTTGTCTTGAAGGACCATGCAGGGAATGAGCTCCTATGGCTGCTGGCAGCATGGGCAGGATGGGCAGGACAGACAGCATGGGCAACATGGGCAGCACAGGCAGGATGAGCCACCAGCAGCCCTGGCCCCTGCCCAGCACCCTCCCCTACCTCTGCCGCAGGCTGCGGTCAAAGTCCACGTTGCTCTGGGGGCTGATCCGGCCATCCACGGCGTAGGGCTGCCAGGACACAAAGCTGGAGCTGCAGGCAGGAGCCACCGTGTGTCCCCCCTGAGCAACTCCCAGCCCCTGGGCTGCTGACGCCACCATGCCAAGGGAGGAGACGCTACCCAAGAGGGACCATGCGCCCCATCACTCACACTGTGTCTCTTCACAAACCATGGGCACCCCCGCCCCTGTTTTTGTTGGGGTGAGGGAGGACAGGATCCCTCCCATCCTGGGAGCAGTATGTGCCCCAAAAAGCTGAGACTCCCCAAACCCAACACCCCCCATTAGTCACCATACCTGCAGCTGCCCTCCTATCCACCCTCCCCAGCACACTCATTGCCACCCCACACCCAGCAGGATGCTCCTGCACCAGGATGCTCAGCTGAGCAGCACCCACCCCGTAGGTGAAGAGCACACCTCCGGTCTTCAGCAGCACCCCAGCACCTTTGAACAGGCCCTGGTGAAGAGAGAGGTGGGAACCAGGGGTCAGGTGCCTGGGGACACCCCATGGGACCCCCAGAGCCAGGGACATGTTAGGGTGCAGCCCTGCCCCACTGCTCACCTCAGTGCAGGCCAGCTCCGCGATGTGCATCATGTTGATGCTGACCAGGAGGTCGAGGCTGGCGGGTTGGGTGCCCCCCCAGGTCTCCCAGCCCTGCGAGACGTCCAGCAGGATGGGGGGCAGCACGTTGGGCACCTGCATGGCCTCGGCGTAGGCAGCGATGCTGCGGGCACCAAACCCCACATCAACTCCAGCCGAGGCACCCCCTGCGCTGAGTGGAAAACCTGCCCATGCTGGCTGCTCGCAGCATCCCCCAGGGGGAGTCTCTGACAGCAAATAATAAGGTTGTGTTTGCAATGCAGCCTGGTGGGGGGCTCTATACAGGACAAGGGGGTCTCTGCTTCCCAACAGGCATCTGGAGAACTGGCAGTAGCCAGACAAATGGTGGAACAGGGACTGAGAGATCCCAGTGCCTAAATAACCGCAGTCCCCCTCCAGCAAGGCAGCTAGCACACGCTGTCCTCCCTGCTGCCTGCATGCGCTGCCTGCACCCACGTGCTCAGGCTGCCCGCACTCTGCCTGCACGCGCAAGGTGCGCTGCACCTGCGCTGTGTGATTTGCAGTGATTTATACCCTTTCTGGCCCACTCACCACCCGGGTCTCCACTCCCAGCTGGAGCAGGGAACCACAACCTCATGGAGGGTAATTTTTAACCACTGTTTGAGAGGTGGTGGTGGGAAGGATACTGGACACAGCCCCATGGACAGGCTCAGCGTCTGGCACCCCCTCACTGCGCTCATTTTCTTATGGGGGGGATTCCTCCCCAGTAGGTTTATTTCCTGAATGGAAACCGAGGCCTTCTGAGCCTGGCGCTGCAATGCCTGGAATGGGCATTTGGCTGCGGCTGGACACACACAGAGCAAATAAGCAGGGCCCAACACGGCCAGCGTGACCCGGAGCGGGGTGGGAGCTGCTGCCAGTGTCCCAGGCATCCAGCCTGGAATCAGCGTAACAAAGCACAGTGGGCAACTGGCAGGCAGGGATGATTCCGTAGTGGGATTGGGCTGGTGGAGAGGGAAAAACTAGGGTTGTCTTTGAAAAATAAAGTGCAAAGCTGGGCAGCCTGAGCTGCTCGGGAATTGGATATTGGGGATTTTCTGGCAATACATAGCAAGTGTTGACTTGGGGAGCCAGGGCTGACCATGAGTTGAGTGTGGTGGTTTTCCTGCGTCAAGCAGGGGAGCTGGGGCTGTCCAAGAGTTGAATATTGTGGTTTTCCTGTGAAAAAAATTAAGCAGGGGAACCGGGGCTGGCTGAGGGTTCTGTATTGAGTCTTTTCTGGAATAAAATAAGCATTTAGCTGTGGAGCCCGGGTCATCCGAGGCTTGGATATCGGCGCTTTCCGGGAATAAAAAGCGCGTGGAGGGGGAGAGCCCGGCAGTGGGGCCACGGGCGGGAGGGTCGGGTAAAGGGATGCAGGATGTGCCCCCCATGACCCCCCATAGCCCCTACTGTCTCCCCAGAGCCACCCATGGCCCTCCCCAGCCCGCCATACCCCCGCCCACCTGCGCAGCGCCCGCGGGTCGACGTCCGAGGGCTGCCAGCGGGTGTGGGGCAGCGCCTGGGCGAAGTGCGCTGCGTGGAGCCCCGCGCCCGCCCCGACCTCCAGCACCCGCACCTCGCAGGGGCCGCACCCCGCGTACTGCCGCAGCACAGCCAGGATCGGGCCCTTGTTGCGCTCCGCAGCCGCCGGCGCTTGCATGGCCACGGGCGCTGGATAAGGCGCTGGGACTACAGCTCCCAGGAGCCCCCGCGGGACCGCCCCTACCGGCGGGTGAGAAATACATCATAATTAGTGGAAAAAAAAAAAATAAAAAAATTAAAAGGGCCGGAAAAAGTTATGCGCCGCCCGGGAATCGAACCCGGGTCGCAAGAATGGGAATCTTGCATGATACCACTACACCAGCGGCGCTGCTGCAGACGGCTCTACCCCAATGCTACTTAACCTTCTCTCAAGGGAGTGGTGTGGGCTGAGGCTGTTGCTGTGTCTCCGTCATGGGCTTCCACTCTGTTCCCACCCCGCTTAACGAAGACCGGCTTTGCGTGGGCACCCCAGAGAAGTGGGGGTGCTTGGGAACAGAGGAGCCCCCCCTGCCAGGACCTGCACAGCTGGTGGACGCTGGGCAGGAAGCAGCCGCAGCCCGAGGAGCTGTGTTCAGGGCTCGTGGGTACACACCATGGGTGCCTCAAAACCCTCCCGATCAGGGTGCAGGTGGGGAAACTGAAGCACAGCTTCCTCCCCCCCGGCTGATAGTGAGTTTGAGGAAGTCAAGCGGGGGGTGATAGCTGTGGGTACACCCATGGGTGCCCAGCGCCCCGCTGAATGCTCTTTTGGGGGGCCGAGCACCCTCCTACCCTGGCAGGGCCAAAAGGCCAAGCTCAACCTTGTGGGATGGCTTCACTGACACTGGAGCAAAGCCAGAGCATGCCAGTGAGTTTGTCACCCATCCTGACCCCAAAACCTGGGATGCCACCCATGTCCCCCCACAACTCTGAGGGGTGATGCTGGGGGTGGCCAGGGGGTCACATCCTGGGGCTGCACCTCCTGCCATGTGGGGACACCTCGAGGTGCTTTCCCCGCTCCAAAGGTCACCACAGTGGCCAGGACATGGCTGCCCAGCCCAGTGTCCCCTGCGGGTCCCGGGGCTCCGCAGATGGTCACAGTGCTGTCCCCAACGTGGGGGCACCTCAGCCCCTGCCTCTACACCCCCTCACTGTCCCCAGCCTGGCTCCTGTGTGTCGCAGAAGTGACTCCTATGTGTGTCCCTTTGTGTCCCATGGCTCTGTCTCCCAGGTGTCCCCATGCACGTGCTCCCTGTGTTCCTGTCACTCCTGTGCCCCCTGCGTGTGCCATCTTGTGTCCCACGCGTTGCCTGTGTCCCCTCTCCTACTTGAACCCTGTGTGTCCTGTGCATGTCTCCCACATGTCCCACGTGTCCCCTCTGTGTGTCCCATGCATGTCTCCTGTGTGTCCCCGTGTCCCATGTGTGCCTGTCCTGTGTGTCACACGTGTCCCCACCTCCTGCGTGTTCCCTCTGTGTGTCCTGCACACGTCCTCTGTGTGACCCCACATCACATCTATGTCCCTTATGTGCCCCCCATGTACCCCCCCACCTCCCATGTGCCCCCGCTGTCCCCTGTGTTTCTACATTCCACGTGTGGCCCCCATGTGTCTCCCATAACACATCCCACATATGACCCCCATATGTCCCCCCCAACTCCACGTGTGCCCCCCATGTGTGTCCCCACACCTTTCACATATGCCCCCATGAGTCCCTCATGTGTCCCTGTGTCCCCCCACACCTCCTATGTGTGCCACCCACGTATGCCCCCCCGTGTATCTCCCATGTATCCCCAATGTCCCCCACACCTCCCACCTGTGCCCCCACGTGTCTGTCCCCCCACCCATGCGTCCCCCGTGCCCCCACACACCTCCCACGTGTGTCCCCTATGTCCCTACACAATTCTCGCTTGTGCACGCTGTGTGACCCCGCCGTGTCCCTCCCCCCGTACGCTCCCTCTGTGTCCCTGCTGTGCCCCCCCCCATGTGCCTGCTCCCGTGTCCTCGCTCCAGCACCTCCCCCCGGGTCCCTCCCACTTCCCGCCCCCTTCCCCAGCCCTTCCCGTCCCGCGCGGGCCCTTTAAGGGCGGGGGCGTGTCGCGGCCGCCCGGGCCCGGCCCGTTAAAGGCCCGGCGGGGGGCACGCGGCGCTCAGGCGGGGCCGGTGCGGGGCCGTGCGGGCCCGCAGGATGTACACGCTGACGCGCGGCCCCAGCAAGCTGGCCACGCAGCGCCGCACAGGTACCGCGGGCAGCGGGCGGCACCGGGGCGGGCGGCGGCGTGTACGCGGGATCCGTCCCGCTCCGCGCCCCGCCGCCCCGGCGCCGCTCTGAGTCCCGCCGCCGCCCGCAGGTCCGACGCAGCAGGCGGTGGAGAGCAGCAAAGGGGCCGAGCTGCGGGGCCGGCTGCAGCCCGGGGCCTGGCCCCCAGCCAGGTGAGCCCCGCCGCAGCCGCCGTGACCTTGGGGAAAGGTTACCGGGCCTCCCGCACCGTGGGGGGGGGGGCGCGGCCGGTGCCCGCACGACGGAACGGGACGTCGGGGACAGCGCTGCCGAGATCGCGGGCACGGCGCGCTCGTGGTGTGCGATGGGTCGGGGGGGACACCCCGGAGCCGGTGCGCACAGGGATGGGGCTGGGACGGAGGGTCCCAGTGCCCGGTTGCTGGGGACGGCACCGCCGGGCCCGGTGTGGGGCTGCCGCGTACCCGGAGCTGAAGTGGTGGCCACGGGGACCACGGGGGCAGTGGTGGCCCTGGGCAGCGTTCGTGAGTTGTCCCGTGGCCCTGGGCAGCGTTTATGTGTTGTCACATGTCCCCGTGGTGGCCCTGGGCAGCGTTTGTGGGTTGTCCCATGTCCCCTTGGTAGCCCAGGGTAAGGTGTCTCCTGGCCCTGAGGGAGGGAAATAGCTTTTTGGTTGAGGCTCGCGGCCTTTAGCAGGAATACCTGGTGGGAGGGTCTGAAACGGACGGAGGGGCGAAGGTTCCTTTCCTTAAGGAGCTTTTTTCCAGAGTGCCGTTCCATCGGGCAGGGCTCTGGGGCCTGCATGGCTCTGCCTGTTTCCCCTAGCCTCAAGGAATGGAAAAGAAAAGCCCCCGTCCAGGCTGTCCCCTCCCTGTCCAGGCTGCCCCCCTCCACCCTGGACCTTCTCCTAACCAGCATGGCTCCAGCCTTACACCCTTATGTTAGTTGGGTGTGCAGGCTCCTGGCTGCTGCCCGGTGGCCCCCAGCCAGGGTCTGGGGGGTGTCCTGTCCCCGGCCCTCCTGCAGACCTGGCAGGGTCTGACCGTTCTGGGTCTCGCCTGCCCTGCAAATCATAACGCGCCTGCACTCTCTGGGCCCCTTAGACTTTGTCCCATGAGAAACACAGCTGTTGCAGACGTGTCCTGTCCTGAAGCTGGGCAGAAAAGCCAAAACACTCAAGTTCTGCATCCAACTTGCCCATAGTCTCATCCTGAGCTTTTCCTTTCCTTCTGCCTGGGTTTGCTGTTTCCAGGCTGGGGCTGTTTCAGGTGCCCAGCTCCAGGGAAGCCTGACCTGCTCCCAGCTGGCAAAGGGCTTCATCCCAGTCCGGGGGCACCTTGGGAACATGCTGGGTTCTGGGGCTGCTACAGCCGGCCTGGGTGCTTGGTCTGTGAGGATGACACCAATGTGCATCCCCTGCCTGGTGCCTGGATTTCACTTCCATTTTCCTGGTTATTTCAGCATTTTTGGTGGCATATTCCTTATTTTGGGGACCCCGTTTTGTGCTAAGGCTGGAGGGTGGGTGGGAGATGGGCAGCCTGTGCTCTTCCATGGGGATCCCCCTCACACCCCTCCCCATGTAGGAACCTCCTCTCCCTTGGGCCTGGCTCCTTCTCAGTCCCTTCCTTTGGGGACAAGACTGAGTGGGGCAGCCCCTGTCCTTCCTCCAGGCCATGGTGGGTGCCCCCTCATCTCCACCTTGTTCCCTTCCACAGCCCAGCCCAGAAACTCGTCTTCAACAGAGTGAATGGCAAGAGGCCGCAGGTGCTGCCGCAGCAGGTCTTGGCCCCTGAAGAGTGCTACACGCTGGCCCATGAGGAGAATGTCCGCTTTGTCTATGAAGGTGAGGGCAGAGGGTCCCCGGGGGCTGGACTTGCTCACTGTCACATCCCAAGGGGGCTGAAGCATGTGGGGTCCCTCCTGAGCAGCCTCATGCTGCTGGGGACCTCTGAGGCAGGGAGGGGGTCCCCAGCCTGGGTACCTGCACCCCTCTGACCACTTCCCACCCCTCCTCCTGGGCAATGCCCATCCCCAACCCTCTGCTGGCTGTTCCTGCATCCAGCCTGGCAGCAGGTAGAGCAGCAGCTGGACAGCAGCCGGAGTGGGGAGAGCACCTGTGGCCCCGTGCAGTACGTAGAGAAAAACCCCAACCCTGGACTCAAAAGTAAGTGGGAAGCAGCTACAGCCCTCAGAGGGGAGGTGCATCAGGGGTGCAATGAGCTGGGGTGGGCTCAGCTGGGTACCTGAGCAGGGCTGTGGTGGGAGGAGGATCCCCAGAAGGGCTGGGTTGGGTCTGTGCTGCTGAGCCTGGTTTTGGGAGTGGTGGTGGGCAGAACTGCCCCCAGCGCTATGGTGGGGGTGTTCAAGCAAGCAGGATGCCTGGTTGATGACTTCTGGAAATCATGCCTTCTCCAGCCACAGAGGTGGGTTCAACATTATGCTGGAGAGAAGCCCCCAGGTCCCACCATGGGGACCTGCCTCCCCCGATGCTGAGCAGGACAGTTGTGGGGATAGGAACATGATCCAGGAGCAAGGACTGTGAATGCAGCCCGAGGGCTCCTGCAGTGGCTGAGATGTCCCCATGAACCCAGCTTGGCCTCTGGGGACAGGGCACAGGGGTGGGGGAGATACTGGGGTGCCATTTCTTTTGTTCAGTGGCAAATGGGATGGCTTGGGGGGAGCCTGTGAAGCCCTGTTCCCTGCTCCAGCTGCTCTGCTCCCCCTTCTCCCTCTTCTCTTTCAGACTTTGTTCCCATTGACCTGGAGGAGTGGTGGGCACAGCAATTTCTGGCCAAGATAGAAAGCTGCTCCTAAAAGGGAAGAAAGGTTTGGTGGTGTCCTGAGGGAGCATCAGCTTGGAGCCCAGAACTGGTGCCATTTTAGAACCATGTTTTTAAAGGATGACCGAAATCAAATGACCAGCAGGACCAGACCAGAGCCATGCCCCATCCCTGCGCCCGCTG